CCCCCCCCCCCCCCCCCCCCCCCCCCCCCCCCCCCCCCCACGATACGAGCCAAAATCAGCCATCTCACATATAAGTCTTATAGTCACGAATCTGATATAGTTTTTGTCTGCGATTGCACCAAATAAATTTTTAGATCTTAAAAAATCCTTTTCAGTGTTCCTGGGAATAATTTTTGCATACAAACTATTCTCTTATTAGATGAACTTTCTTCAGAGCATTTTCACTATTTATCTCTTTCGCTTAGAGCAAGCCTCAACTATTATATATCATTTGATAGAGAATCTCACGGGCTACAAAATCCTAGAAGAAAATGTAACTAGATAGCCTAATATCAAAAATACCCGGTACATTTTGCATCTCAGCAAACAACACTACGTCCCTTTGCTTGTGCCATAGAACAGAACCACGTAGGGTCGTAGTTAAAGTTGTATCCGTGTGAATTAAGTTAATTTGTATATGTTCTCAACGTAATTGAGAGAAAGATTACAGAAATATTGTCTCGAATATTGCGTGCGCAGTAAAGGGTCTAGTTCAAGTTTTCAGCGCCTGGACTTTTCTGTGGTCTAAAAGCGTTTGTAAAACAAAGGATGGAGACGTTTTCTGCGGTAAATCGATCTCTACTGATTATGATTATCCATTAAGGGTACTCCTCCCTCTTTTTTGACCCTCTTGGAAACCGGGGAAGACGGGTTGGGATCGAAAATGTGTAAGAAAGATTTACATTCTGAGATAGGGCCTAAAGTATCTGGGGTAAAAGTTTGAGCTCGATCGGATCATTCTTTCGAAGAGTCGTAATCTGACCCGATTGAAGGGACTATAGAAAAAACACATAGTGAGAAAAACACATATTCTACGTACAGAACCCTAGGTAGGATTCTGTTTTTTAGGGCATTTGCAGTGATACTTATATCTCCACGAAAACTCATCGGAAAATTCTGAAAGACATCTCGTATTGAAGAGTATACTTCCTTCTATCGTGTGAAGTATAAGAAAAAATTTTGAATATATAAGAGTGGAGAGAAAAATTCAAATTTTTAAATATTTAAACTTTTCCTTATTTTGCATCTTTTTGTACTCATAAAATGTCTGTTAACATTATGTTATATAACCGATAGTTCTGAAAAAGGTCTAGACAAACTCTATTTTCGAATTTGCCTATGTATGGAGTAATACATTAACTTTGACATAGTAGAACGTGAATAGTGTGAGGTTTAGTATTTACTACGTAATTTTTAGTTTTAATAGCACACAGAATCTTTTACATATCATTCGATAGAGCTTTCAAAACTCTACAAATATATCAAAATGAGGAATTTTTGAAGCTGGAGTACTATGCTAAAAAACTTAAACAACATATACATAGGTACCATACTAATGATTCTGTCAAGTGTTCTAAGGGCATATCTATCTCCAGTATAAATAATAAAACGCTAAAAAGTTTCTAAACATGTACTTATAGATGCTGGTGTAAAGAAAAAAGATATTTTTTTGACATGAGAAAAACTGATTCATGAAATTATTAGCTTATAGCAAGCGATGTTACCGGTTATCTTGCTTGTATGTGTGGAAATGGTTCTATTGAGAAGTGGGAGAACTTCATGGATAAGTCTCAAAATACAATTGGGGAGGTCACCCTGGCATGATGAGCAGTCAGAAATAGTTGAGAACTTAAATTGGTGTTAGAATCTGATAATTAAATCATTCACGGGAATTCTATAATTAGATGGACTACGTTGTTCAGAGATGAGAGCATTGGTCTAGATAAGCTAATACTACTCGCGTTCGATCTCCGATGACATATATTTTCATCTTTCGTATGTCTGTCTATCAGATACTTTCTCAGACTCAAAATTATGCACTTTTCAATGTATCAGTCTGAGGGAATGTGTATTTGAGATTTGAAAAATCTAAATAGTTTATTTTATATTGCCTTGTTCAAATACATTATTTTCTCAGTATCAATTAGAATGCTTAATTGGCCAACATTAATATGAATGAATAAATTGTTACCGAACTGATACTGATTATATCTAAATGTTTTATTTATTGCTAACCTGGCGAAAACGTAAACGTAATTGTTGTTTCGTTGTTGAACGATTCTTCTTTTGTGCTATTTGATCGCTGTTGTTATGTGGTAACATTTTGCTAAAAAAATTTGGTTTGTACTGAAATTCATTTTGATTTAATATTTTGAATGATAGACAACGAATTATAAGAGCTAAAGACCATTGATGGGTGAATAATTTATACGAAAACATGACATCATGATGGAAAACAGTGATAAAATAGCCTAAAAGATTACCAGAAAAACGTGTAATCAAACGTATGCGTGTTTTTTTTAAAAATAGATGGTCTAGTAGAAAAATTTATACTTTACAACATGATTTTATTTTTGTTCCGTTTGTTTTCGGATATGCTATCTATCCATGAACTCTTACAAATACTCAGAAAAGGAAAACATAATAAGTATCTGGATTTATACTTGGCTTCTTTCTCTTTATATTTTATGGCAAAATGACTTATCATTATTTGTCAAAATAAACTTTAAATAGTCTATTACTGAAACCGTCTCAGTTTTTTGTTAGCGCCACGCTTTTTCTTCTCGTTATTTAGTTTAAATTTTTTATTTAAAATAAGAAAAAATAACTAATAATGATCACAAGCAAGTGGGAAAACGCTCATAATAGTAGACATTGTTTCGTATAGATAAAAAAACAGGATATAAGCAACAACAAGAATATTAGAAAAAAGGAAAAGGAAGCAAAAAATGAAAAGAAAAATAAAAAAACACAAGCTTCACATATACATTCTTTAGGCATTAGTATTAGCTATACGAGCAGTCAATGGCGCAAAAGAATATAGTTTCGGAAAAAATTGTTACTTTAGTTTAGGTAGGTGAGATACCGTCTTGTTTTATCACTAAAAGAAACAACAGTATCATGAATTTTATTCATTTCATGCAGATTTAAAGGTTTTGCTAATAATAAAAGATCTAAAGTTATTGTACCTAAATGGTTAATTAAATCAAATAGAACTTTTCTGTCTGCACTGTAACGAGAATAATGAAAAAAGTAATGCATCAAACTTTCATTTCCATCGCAAGTACACAAATCAGTATCACTGTTCTTAAAGATTTTTTTTCGTTTAAATATTGTTTCAGAGAAGGAGCGTGAACTCTGCATCTTGCGTAGGCTACTTCCAAACGACGGGGAACATTTATACTTACACATTTTCTTAAATAACGACATTCGTTTAAAACATGAAAATAATCATTTGATTTTTACTTGAAACGATGTATCCTAAAAAGTGAAGTGATCCCCAGTGGAGTTTCATTCCATTCCACTAGTAATATAGCAACAACAGTATTACTCAGTAATCTACTTGAAAGATTACGATTTTATAGGTCAAGTAAAATAATTCTACCAAAAAATATCTATGTACACTATAAAACTGTTCATTATTTTACTATTCAACAAAGTTAAAACTCTTTGAATTTAAAAGTAACTGATTGTTTCTACAATGTAATAATTTAAGCATTGACATGCCTATAGTAAGAATGAGTTTGTTGTTCATCGTAATTAGGAGGCATGAATGGCTGAGTTCGAGTTTCATACGATGGAAAACGTGCATGAACACCTCCACGCTCTATTTGTACGGGAATAGGTACAAACATGGTTTCATCTTGATGATGATGCTGCTGCTGCTGTTGTGGATGATAAGAAGCAAAATCAGCATCGGCGTGTACAGAGCGAACAACAACGCGTGGAAGATTTGTAACCATATAAGCGGATGGAGGCATTGCTTGATACATCTGATCTCGTTCTGTCATAAGTATTTCATCATGATTTGGAGAAAATCGGTGAGCAGGATTATCGTTGTAAGGATTTTGCATTCGTTCGCGACTTGATCTCATGGGTTGTGGGTCTTGCCGCGATGATCGTCCGTCTATTTCATCTCGGTACTGTACTTGTTCGTCTCTGTAAGGGCGTGACATTCGCTCATCTGAAGGTTGACGATAGTAACTACCACCAGTACTAGCCGGATCACTACGAATATCAATTATGGTCGGTGAATCTTGAGTATAGATACGATTGTTAGCATTCGTGTCTTGTCGAAAAGGTCGAGTTAAACGAGGATCATCTCGGTCATTTGTAAATTCTTTCGGTGAACCGAGTGTGTCACTTGCTCTGCCGACAAGTGGTTCTGGTTGAAGAAGACGTTGTTTTTCACCAGCATTTGGATCACTATTAGCGGAATTTGCTGCACGTTGTTTAGCAGTACGTCGTTTTTCCAATTCACCTTCGATATGTCGCCGTTTTTGCTTCTCCCTACAATGATACAAAAATCTCAATTTAGAAATGTTTTGCGTTAACAAGCAAGCGTTAGAGTTAATCGAACTGTTTATCTTAAAAGCATCGATAGAAAAAAAAGAAGGAAAAAAAACAGGCAAACACAGATGCGTCCAAAATTATCCGTACAGCGTATAGTTTCGGAGTAAATGAATCGTAACTTTTAAGAAAACTATATTTTGACATGGGCTTTTCGCTAAACTATTCCTTGGTCTGTCTAGTATTTCTGTCAAAAAGAAATCAGTTTGAAATTCCAGCTGGTTTTAGTTTTCCGAAACAAAACTAAAAATTTCGAATGTTTAGTCGGGATCCGTACAGCAGAAAATATTTGCTTTTTCTCACTTAATAAAATTTTGTCATCATTGCCAATATAACCGAAACACTCTTGGATTCGGTTGAAAATCGACTGAAGGGATCCTAGAACGCAAAACGACTATCCAACACGATATTAGATGTATTGTAAGAAAAAAAACTAGAAGTATTTTTTCAAAAATGTCAAAACATCGTGTCATCAAATTTTTCTTGTGTATCCTTTAATGAATTGTTTGTATCTTTTGAAAGAAATATAATCAAGGGCTGGAGAAGATTCCATTCTGAAGAGCTGATTCTCTTCTACAACTCTGTGCAAGAAAAAATGTTTTGGATAAGAGGCTCATGAGACAGAGTCAAATTAAAAAAGCTTGCACATGCACTAATTCAAAGAACATTCTGGAAAACATGCCAAAAGTTGCCATTTTTATTTCTAAAATGAATGTACTCTACTCAGATTATTTCGCTCTCTCCGATGATATGTTGAAAACATTTTTAGACTTTTCGATGCTCGACATATTTTTATTTTTCAAAAATTGGATGCTCGCAAGCGTCTACTTTAGCCGCCGCAGAGATTAAAGTCGAATTTTCGTGCCCAGACTATACGCTTTGAAAAATGTTTTTTCTAAAAGGTTGCTATGGAAAACTAGTCATCCAACGCTATCGCCTGTATACCTCCAAAGATTTTATTGAGTAAGTAAAAGCAACTATTCTCTGCTGTACGGATCCCGACTAAGCATTCGAATTTTTAGTTTTGTTAAAACCACTTAAAATTTCAAACTGATTTCTTTTTGACAGACATACTAGACAGACCGAGGAATAGTTTAGTGAAAAGCCCATGTTGAAATATAGTTTTCTTAAAAGTTACGATTCATTTACTCCGAAACTACACGCTGTACGGATAATTTTGGACGCATCTGTATTACGCTAAACTTCTTATATCGGAAATCTTCAAATATATGTGCAGAGTTCAAAATACTAACTGTACCTATAGAAGCTACATTTACCTTATCGATCTGAGTCCGAATGTGACTATCGCCAGTAATATGATGACACTACATGACGTTGGTATAATAATTAAATTAAGAGAATCTCTATTTCGTTCATAAACTTGAATGCTATCAATTTTAATTAACCTCGAACGGGTAATTGCTTCAATTTCGGTTGTATGACGTAATAATGCTTCTAAACAAACAAAAATACAATCATAAACGATTTAGTCTAATAATCTGAAATTGTCTTATCATACCTATCATTATTATCTTTTCAATTTCATGAACTTTTCCGGATTGTTCTGTACATTTACCACGTAATTTCACAGTTAAAAATCGGCCATCTTGTTTGGCCGAAAGCTTTTCCTCTTCAAAAGTACTAGATGATAAATAATTTGATTTGATATAATCAAATACGAAAATTATAGTGAGAAAAGCTTACATTTTTTTGCAATCAGAGCCTTTTTTATCATTAATATACTTTAGTTCACTGTCAAGAGCTGCTTCCAGTCTTTCCGGGTAACTAGGCGTCCACTGTTGTTTATGGAAAAGAGAAAAGTAATTTAAATGACAAAAACATTAAAGTAGAATTTACCAGTTTATACTCACTTCAATCAGCTTGATATCCATCAAAAGGATTTTCAAAAAATGATCTTCCTCTAAAAAAATTAAGTATATTATTTAAGTTTTTACGTTATTTTTAAGGCCCTACCAGAAAATCATACTGACTGGTATCCAGTCGGGTCTGAACGAATCTTCAGAGTATGTTGATCTTGTCTAGATATAGCGGTGAAATAATTTTTAAGATGCTGCCTACTGCATTCAGGAGAAGTCGTTCAAACATGGGAGAAAATGAGAAATTTAACATTGTAAAAACTTGTAGGAATTGCAGAGTTCGAGCTGGCTTTTAAATTGTTCTAAACGCGCACGGAAACGACATCAAAGAAGAAGGTTTATAAAATTTTTGTTCAGTCTATCAGCAGAAGCGTTTTATCTAAAGCTGCCTGGAAAAGGTCGAAAAACACGTCTACAACTCTAGACATTGTAGAAAAATGAAAATTTAAATAGAAAATCGGGCTCTTTTACGGTGTAACTGTTGGCTTTGGTTTTAAAAGGCCGATTTAGACATGTTTTTACATAAAGATCTGAGCCACGATGTTTCTCATTCAAGGAAAAATCTCTGTTGAAATATGGTGATTCTAGAGTATAGCACTGATTTTAGAATACTTAATCATCGCTTGGAAATCGGGGACGTCTCATTTTAACTATTTGCTTTATAAACTGGCGCCATTAAAATCTTTTTTGGTTCTGTTATTTGAATAAAATGTCAGAATTTCAGAAAAATAAGATTTTCAGATCTTTTTCAAAAACGCTCAGAAAACCTTTATATTAGCAAAAACAGTTGAAGAATAGACACCTTAAGCTATACAGTAATATGATTAGCTCAGTATCAACTATTTACGGATAAATCTTTAGCTTGCAACATCGGGACATGAGGGAGAAGTTTTCACTTGCCAGACATTTGTAATCATTTCTATTACCCGAAGCATTTATTCCTGTCTTAATAAGATGTCGATAATTCAACGTTACAGCACTTTTTATTTTTGACTCATTAATACATCATTCGAAAGAGGAGATCGAGCTGATCAGGAAAAACAAGCTTTTAACTTTTCCAGTGCACTTTTTCAGTGAACAAAAAACTCAAAAACTTTGGACGCCAAAAACCGCTAGTTTTCACAAAAGAATAAATAATACGCTACCAAAACATATTGAAGCTCTGAGACATCATTTTTCAGAATCAGCGTCAAAAACTGAGTATACAAAACTATTTTTCAAGGCTTCGCGCTAAAAACTGAAGTTTTGACGCCACCACGGAGCCCTCGCGCTCGAAGTACTCATACCTCAGCTCGCAAACCTATCTAGTTTTGTGCGTTGAGAGATGGTACCATGAATCCTACACCATTCGATGTGCCTACAAAAGTACGTCTCGATTTTTTCAAAACTCCTTTTCATTTCGAAAAAACAAATTTTTATTAAAAAGTACGTGGTTTTGCCCAAAACCGTGAATAAATCTGTCAGCTTTCATCCGAACTGAATGAAAATTTGGTTCTATGAGTAGATTTTGATGCTGAACCTGACAGAATCACTTTCAGGTTTTTCAGAAACCCAGCAGGAGGTTTTCTAGGAAACCGAATCTATAGAAAACCTTTTCAAAACCCACTTATCTAAAAGTGGCCTAGATAGATAGACAATCAAATTCTGAATAAAATGAGCCTGGCCGGCATTTCTGTGACCTTCTCGAGCCGAATTACCGGATTTTATGTGAACGGAACAGACTTCTTCCGGATTTGAGCACTGAACAGCCCCGTCGAAAAACGTTTAAGGAGGCTGATACTATTATTCCTCCTGAAATCCAACTTTCGAAACTCTTTCATCGATACATGACTCTTTGTGCACATTAATATTCGAAATCATTTCCACTATAGAACTATATGAAGGAAGTAAAATAATTTTTTTCAAGACGCACTGGACTATGTGAGCCTATTCTTCTTCGTGGCTTTTCATAAGAAGAGGACAATTATAATGAAAGCTAATATGTTACATGAAAGCCCAAACATCAACATTTATTATTCTAAGTGGAAGTAGAATAGTTTCACTTCACTTTTTTCCTAGATGTTCACCAAGTTTTTCACTATGATGATCGATCTGCAGTGCAAAAAGTTTATTGAGCTTCATAGTGACATCGTCAATAAGTATAAAAATATTACCTGTAAATGACACTGCATAAATAGCAGGTAATAAGTAATAGAGGAATAACGATCGTACTATTAATATCATTGTACTTGTTCAATATTGTAAATATGAGCCGAAGTTAAAGTTAATATTCATTCAATTAATAAACTTGATTTGGTCAACAATATTTGACTTTCTGAAACTATTAAATTTATTTATATATAAGATGATCGCATAAGTAGCCTACTGTTCTTACTGAAATTTATCAAAGGAAAAGAATACTAAGAGGGGTGTCAATGCTGAAGTCTAATCTTTCATCGACAAAAGACTGCTTCATCGATTCTACCTTGATCATCTTCACATGCAACTGTCTATTAAGGTTCAGTTTTTGAAAATTCCACTTATTAGACACAGAACCGCTGGTAGAACACAAAATGAAAATTTTATTCTATGTCAAGTTTACGTCGTATTCTACAACAAGTGTTCATACGATAAAAAAAGTTTCATAAGATCATAGTAAAAGAAAACGCATTACTTTTTTAAAGAGTAGAAAGAAAAAGTAAAAAAAGATAGAAACCAAGAACAATAGGTAAAAAAACTTGCATTCACAAAGATTTCAAGGTTGTTCATACGTCATATACTCGCTTAGGTATCACGTATGTAAACAGAAATCGAAACGTGCTGAATTTATCAAATATTTATTTCAAAACGAGTAAACATATTTTGAAT